TTTCCCTAATTTTTCTTCCCTTCCTTCCGCAGTTTTCCGAGGAAAGACGCTCGCGTATATAAGCACACGGCTGTCTCGGACAATGAGAGGCTGTCGTCCGTAAAGAGTCGCGCAACAATGGCTGACTGCCGGCCTTTTCCTGGAATTTCGCGCTTCTGCAATTACGTAAAATAATGTTTTTCCAGCCGATATTCCGGCACGGTCGTTGTACCGTAATGTCCCGACGGACGACGCGTTGTAAATTACAGTTTTCCGAGAACAGCTGTAAAGATGCCACGATAACGCGGCGCTACCTCCTGCCCCGCGAGTTCACCCTGGGTCGCTAACTTGGCCGCTTTCGATCGGTCAGCTGGTGTTCTCGGTAATCCGATCAAGATCTCTGATTTTTAAGATTCTCAATCGCTGTTTTGTTCAGTTATCGCTGATAAAATGTATCACGGGTCTAGGTGTTCATGTACGTTCTTGGGGATACGTAGGGGAGGTTAGTAAATGTAGGGTACTAAGGAGGCTGTTCTTAGGTCTAGGTTAGGGTTGTCAGTGTAGTAAATATTATAATTTCTAATTTTAAGGTACTCATTGCGTATTTCTTCCGTCTTTCTGATGTATTTATGGGGATAAATAATATGAGCTTACGAAATTGAGGTTAGGTGCCTTTTTGCTGTAAGGTGGTCTTTCAAGATGTTCCTTTTTAGTGAAAATGTTTGTCGATTTGTGATATAGAAGAATTGAGTATATTTTAAGATATTTAGTTCTAGCTGATAAATATATCATGAGTCTAGGTGATCTAGGTGATCATGTGCGTTTTGGGAGATTTGTAAGGCAGGTTAGTAAATGTAGGGTACTGAGAAGGCTGTTTTTAGTCTAGTTAGTCTAGGTTAGGTTGTCAGTGTAGTAAATGTTGTAAAGTAAAGTAGCTTTTAATTTTCAGGTACTTATTTGGTGTTTCTTTCGTCTTTCTACTATGTTTGTGGGGATAAAATTGTGAGCTTACGAAATTGAGGTTAGGTGTCTTTTTGGTGTAAGTTGGTCATTCAGAATGATTCTTTTTAGCAAAAATGTTTGTCGATTCGTGATGTAGGAGAGTTGAATATATTTGTTAAGCGTGTTTCTTCTTTTTTTGATATGTTTGTGGGGATAAATAGTGTGAGGTGACGAAATTGAGGTTAGGAGTCTTTTGTTGTAAGATAGTCATTCAGGCTGAAAAGCTCGTTGCTATACAGAGTGCATTAGGGTACTAAATTGAATTGGATAATGATTTTAGAAAATGATACGTGATTCGCTTAACGAAATATCCTATTCCTTCCATTTTATGTTCTTGTACCAGTGGTATTTTTTGGTAAATAAAGGCTACTTTCTATTATTACCGCAGTGGCTCCCTAGGAAGCGAGTTCACTGTACAGACAGCCATGACGTTTGTCACGAACCTGACAGTTATTACGTTTGCTTTAGATCAAACTGCTGACAAAGATTTGGTTTCATCCGATATTCTGTCCGAGAAAAAAGTATGCATTACTCCTGACGTGGTAATTATATGTACTCCTATGGCGCAGTTACGAGAACATTCGAGGTAACTCTTTATTGCAAAAG